TTAGGGCGGTCCGAAGCCTGTCGTGATGATGACCAAGAGATGACTTGCGGACACGCGCGCGCGCGCAGCCATAGTTTCGGTCGGGCTGAGGCAGCCAAGGCCGGTACAACGCGACGTGCAGAAGGACGATGCAGACTTGTCTAGGTGAGTCGCCAGAAGTCCACAACAAACGGCAAACAACCCCCTGTCGATCGATCTATTCGCGCGCGCGCGCTGCAGAAAAAGTAGAGTGAGTCGTTACGTCGGTGCGTTCCCAGAACGGCCGCCAGTGTGCGACAATCTACCCCCCGCTGGCCGGGGGTCTGCGGGCTCCGCAGGCTCCGAGACGTGGCGCCCGGTGGCTCCGAACATGACCCGGCAAACAAAATGCTACTAACGACGCAACAAACGCGCACGCCTGCTGCTCCCCCGGGCTCCGGGCAAAGTGTTACAAAACTGGATCCATTATTTGGCGAAAGAAGGGACGACGCATGGCGGCTTTGTGGCTGGAATCACTCCTCCGAGGAGCTCGTCGATGACACCGCTGCCACCTGGCCGAGGCCGCGCCGCCGGGGCCCCCGTCGCGTCTTCAGCAGCCCGCGCAGCTGCAGTGGTAGTATGGGGCAATAACTTTCTGGGAATAATGAGTTTCCTCGAGACACCTATTTGCAGTCAACAGTTGACCTGCTGTGAAAAAAGCACACACACGCGCGCCCTCCGTTTTGTGGCTCTTGTCCTGCACGGCGCTGCCTGCCGCTTGCGGTGGCGCTCGGTCAATTTTGCTTAGCATAAAAAAGGAGCACGGATAACCAAAGTTATTCCTTTGCAGCTTTCAGATTCTGGAAAATTATATCTAGTTTATTTTTGTTGTTCAAAAAATAAGTAAAATACATAGATTTGCAAATCTTCCATGCCTCGCGCTTGAGAAGTCGCGGAATAAAGCACTCGAGATGGTCCTTTGGCCCTCGGTGGGTGGAGTCCGCTTGAAGAGTCCAAAGACATGCCGCATGATGGAACAGCGCCCCCCTCTGAACACAGGATGTGGCCGATATATGCGGAAGATGGAACGGCACTACTCAATCAAACGGACGTCGCGCGCACACCGCGCCGGTGACACGGCAGTGACGGTCCTATTCACAGGAGCAGGCGAAACAAAAAACCGGGGCAAAGCTGGACGGGACATGGGCGGAAGACTGCCGTAACTGTGGTGGGCGTCCCGCTCAGTTGTGGGGGCCCCATGTGTGACGCGCCCCCGCGGGGGTCGGGCAAGGGGCGCCCAGTGGGAGGACGCGTCCACAATCAAGAGGAGGACACAATAGGGCGGCGGGGCTGACACCTGCGACACCGGCCCGGCCACCTTTGGTAGAGCGAGGACGACGCCTACTTGTACTACTTGCAATCGGCCTGCTCGTCGGAACTCAACGCTTCTTTTTGGCAGGACTCTCGCCTTGGCCATATTCATGGGACATGATGGGCGGAAGGCAACATTGCGTGGACGTGGCGCCACCGCGTCGAGCGAGATCTAGTATAGCACTGCAATCCTGGAACTCGTCGTTCTGGAGACCTTGGAGGAATTCCCTCGCCTGGAATTTCGAGCAAAAGTCGAGACCATACGTCATTTTGGATGGGTGCGGGGCTGTGGTGGGGCACCGCGGAGTATACTCCGGTGGTGGTGTGGGGCCATATCAGCTTTACTCTCTTTGGAATCTGATGGCATGCTTGGCGTCGTGGAGTCAGGGATATACACCGCTTCTCGATTTCATGGCTCGAGGAGAAACCCCCGGGGATGACTTCATCACTGCCCCGGTGCCGTGTGCCCACCCCTTGATGGACAGGTCGATGAGATGGGGCGTCGTGTGGAGGTGTCCGCCAGGGATTGACGGGGTGCTCCCAAACACCGCCGCCGCGTATCTCGGAATCCCCATACGAACGAAGACGAAATTTTTCGGTCGATCTATCTTCGATAGCGCGGACTGCATCGTTTTCAACCTTTTCCTGCTTCTTTTTTGCATAAAGGGTTTGATTTTTGCCGCTGTTTTTGTTGCAGACGCACAAAAGCTTTTTTTCCCCAATAAGCTTCGGGCCCCAGTTATGGCTTATTTGACTCGGCCGGTCGGTCCAGCAGCGGCGGGCGCCGATTACCATTTACCACGCGTGCCTTCACTCCCCGGTGGCACGCAAGCCCCCGCGCCAGCGCGCCCTCCCTCCCATGCGGCGTGCTGCACTGGCGTCGGGCACATCTTTCTCATTTGTAACAACTCTCGTTGCCTCACACACACACACACACACGCACACCAACCTGTGCTTGCCCCGCGGGTGGAGCGGAAGGGCTCATAGCTCTGATTAATTCGCTCCCAACTGACTAATGAGTGTGTATCGCCTGTCCGTTTCACTAAAAGGGTTTTGACACGCGCCCGATGGCCCCGGCCGGGGAATGCGCGTGATCCCGGAGAGAGGGGACTCAACACCACCCATCCAACCACCTGCTGCTGCTGCCGCCGCGGTCTATAGGCGTGAGCAAGCAGTTGCCCCGGATAGAATGGGGATTTTGAGCAGCAGCGAAAGATTGAAAAACGCATCGGGATTCTGTGACGGGTTTGCGTGCCTCGGGGCCATCCCGTCCGTGGCGTGCGCGGCCGACGCGCGCCCCTCTCTCGCCACCTTTGGAAACAAAATATAATGGAAGGCAGGAGCGCGCGCGCGAGGCGCAAGCGGCGGCGCAAGCTCACAGGAACTGTTTGATAAACTCGTGTGTTGGGGCCGTCGGATTGTGTGCGCCAAAGCTGACGAGCGATCGCCGACGGATGTGTGTATACAGCGCGACTGTTTCGCCCCGGCTCGCCTCCCGTTCGGGTCAGGTCTGGGCTAACGGTGCGCTCAGACCAAATAAATGTACAAAATGAACAAATTCCATAAGAACTTCTCTGGAAACGCAAGTGTGTGAATGTCGCTCACTTGTAGGTGAGCGATTAACCATTCGTACACTTACGGGGGGTAAACGTGTGAATTTTTTCTAGAAAATTCACACCTTTACCGCCCGTATGTGTATGAATGGATAATCACTCACCTTCCAGTGAGCGACATTCACACACTTGCGTTTCCAGTGTTTCTAAAAAATAAGGAAGGAAAACAATTATTTTGATTCAAAAGAAAATTGATGTTTTATGAAATTACCATCAGATACATAAATGTATGCCCCCTCCTTTTTAAAAAGTTACCACCCTTTAGACAAAGTTTAAACAGGGCCAATATAGTCACGGACAAGACAAGACGCGCGCGTGCGGGTCTTTATCCTGCAGCTGATCGGCGGACCGACGTTTCTCTCGATGCACGAGACCAGTTTGTTGCCGAGGACCACCACTCTGGTCCGCGCGCCCAATACATTCTGTTATCCCATACAGCTCTGCACAGGGACGCTATAGAAGAAAGACTGGTGCATTTCTTTATTACAACGTTTTCTTTGCACAGAGGCAGCTTTGCCGATTACAGTTGCAGCCCGGCGAGTTTGCAGCGCGTGGGGTTATCGCATGGAATATGAAGCCTCGCGGGCAAGGAGGGCAGGCATCTGCTCCTCATATGCGGCCGCTATGATCGGGACTTGTTTTGATAGGCTGCATAGGATGCCTCGCGCACTGGACCTCACAACGAGATTGCGCGCCGAAAGGATTTTCGCCCGGTTGCTGATGTTCCCTGGTGGTTCATGCGGGGTAAATGTTTACAGAAGCGAGGAACTGTTATTGATTGATGGCAAACGGGAAATGGTGCGCGGACCTCCCTCAATAAGTGTGTGTTTGTGTAGGGCGGAAAGGGGGGAGGCTCGGTGGCTCTGCTAATCAGAAATTGCTAGGGAAGATACGGCCCTTCTTCACCTTGACTCGACCCCCCCCCCCTCTCCCTCTCCTTCCGATGGGGTATCCCATCCTCCCTCTGCCCGCCTGTCTGCCCCCTTCCCCCCTCTAACTTCTCCCTGTCGTGTGTGGCCGCTGTGTCCAGATAAGGGCGCCTCTTGTTAGGGCGGTAACCCGAGAGACGTCCGCACCACCCTTGCCCGCCTGCCCGCCCCTTATTTTCCTCCCCTCTGGCTTTCTTCACGCGCTGGCCGCGCCAAGACAACACCAAACGCGAACGGAAGCAAATAAATATATTCTTAGCACCACATCACGTCTGTGTGGAAGCCAATGGAACGAACTTGAGACACGTTAGGGACATACACTGGAGCTGCGCTATGTAGGAAAAGAGCTCCAATTGAAGGAAAATATTTCAGTATTGTCAGGAACGCCATAATGGGCGTTGTAGCGGCAGAAGTGTGAAGAGAAAGAGGCCGAGTGAGGCAATAAGGAAAAAGGGGGAGAGGTGCACATTACAATATATCGTGTGTATAATGCATTCCTCGTCACGTGACACGCGTCAGGAGCCAATCAGATCGTTCGCCCGATTAGAACTAGTGATGGAGCAGACGGGAGTGAGTGAGTGACTCTTCGAAGAGCTGTCTCCCTATGTCTCTTCTTTCTCTTTCTCGCTGTACGGTCGATTTCTGTCTAGAAGTGCAACAGAGACGTGAGGTGGCCTCCGAGATGGTAGAGGTTCTCACTAAACACATCCCTGCCTACGTTGACTTCAAAACACGGGACGGGAGGGAGAGCTACGGAACCACCTCCAAACTCAAAACATCACATACACATTCGAGTTTGCGTGCATGTCGAACGGGTTATGTTATTATTGGTCTGCCGGGGACACCGACGACTGCCAATACTCTTATATGTATTCAAGCGGACAGCTTTAGGTGGGTGCGTCAAGAAAAAGTAAAACAAGAGGGTCGGTTTTATAAGAGACAGCAGCCAGCAGGTGTTGGCAATCAGTTGGCAAGGCGTTTTAAATTATCGCACTTCTTTATTTCTATTCAAATGATTATAAAAGTAAAATCAATAATCCACGGCCATACCACATCCCGTGCCGATAAATGCTAATGAAATCCCAAATCTTGTACAATTTAAAAACTTTCAAAGTAATGAACTCTGTTTTTCCCATGCAGGATCAGAGCAATTTCACCGGTCAACCCAATGTGTACGTACTCGCTCAAGTGCATTATTCCAGGTACTAGAAAATATTTAGCATAATATAGTGATTATTTTTACGATTTTTTCAGGACTAATAGTCTGGACATCGGGAAGTCTTCGGCATCAACAAAAATCCTCACCCCAGCGCAACTAGTGAGTACATTTTTCTCGATGAACTTTTAGGAAGTTTGCAGAAACCTTTTCAGAACATGAGAATATTTAATCGAAAGATTAAAAAAATGCCTCAAATTTCCCATTCATCTTTACTAGTTCTTCTGTTTTACCACGCAGAGGAGAAAAAAGTGGAAGAACAAGAAAAGCAGCGCCAAAAAACGGCTGAAGGAGTTAGCGAAGCGGCAGCAGACAAATGTAAGTACACATTTTTAAAGTGGCAATATGGCAGTACACAATTAAAAGTATATTGAAGTTTTTTAGTAAATTTTTACTCTTGGCGGAACCATGTAGAGGACATCTACTGCAGTGATCACGGTTCGGCCACTGGCTGGCCACTCTGTTGTCACTCGCGCATGTCCCTCATAAGTCCGTCTCTCTCCTACCACCAAGTGCTGTCGTTATCCGTGACCCCTGCCGTTGCCTCGAATTACATATTTAATTGGCTTTTAGATCAGGAGAAAGAAGCCGAACATAACAAGCCTTCAGCTGTCTTTCGGAAATCGTCTGCCAAAACAGTTGCAAACAGTCTATTTCCGAAAAACAGTTGAAGACTTGTTATGTTCTGGCTTGTTATTCCTGATTTTTTGTATACCTATAATTTACCTCATTTAAATCTTGCGAAGTAATAACATTTGTTTTTCTCGCGCAGAATCAGAGTAATGACACCGGCAAAGCATATGTGTACGTACTTGCTTACGAGGTTTTTTTTCCAAGAACTTAAACATGTACTGATCTCTTACAATTTTTACAGGACTAACAGTTTAGATATGGAGATGAAAATGTCTTCTGCAGCAACTGCAACTGGAACCCCAGAAGCACACGTTCGTACAATATTTTTCCTACTAAAATTATTTAAAAAAATATAATCGAAAGTCCACCCCCATTCCATCCCGTGCCGATAAATGCAAATGAATCCCCAAATCTTGTACGATTAAAAAACTTTCAAGTAATGGAGTCTGTTTTTCTCATGCAGGGTCAGAGCAATTTTACCGGTCAACCCAATGTGTACGTACTCGCTCAAGTGCCTTTTTTTCAGGTGCTAGAAAATGTGTAGCATGAAACAGTGATTATTTTTACAATTTTTGCAGGACGAACAGTCTGGACAACGGGAAGTCTTCTGCACCAACAAAAACCCTAACCCCAGCGCAACTAGTGAGTCCATTTTTCTCGATGAACTTTTAGGAAATTTGCTAAATCTTTTCGGAACTTGACAAATTTTATCGAAAGATTAAAAAAATTACCTCAAATTTTCCATTCATCTTCAAAAGTTTTTCTGTTTTCCTACGCAGAGGCGAAAAAAGTTGAATAACAAAAGAAGCAGCGTCAGAAAGCGGCTGAAGGAGTTGGCGAAGCGGCAGCAGACAAATGTAAGTACACATTTTTTAAGGGGCAATGCGGCAGTATTAATTAAAGAGTATATCAAAGTGTCATCAGTAAATTCTCACTCTTGGTGGAAACATGTAGGGGTCATCTACTGCAGCGATCACGGTTGGGCGGCTGGCGGGCCACTCTGACATTCGCGCAGGTCACCCATAAGTTCATATCTCTCCTGCCACCCGCCGCTGGCGTTATCCGTGGCCTCTGCCCTTTTTCTGAATTTGAAAAACTTTCTAAGTAATAAACTTTCTTTTTCTTTGTGCAGGATCAGAGTAATGATATCGGCGCACCAAATGTGTACGTACTCGCTTCCCAGGTATTTCCCAGGATCTTGAAAATGTACTGATTTGTTGTTATTATTTTTACAGGACTAACAACTTAGACATGGAGATGCCTTCTTTAGCAACTGCAGTTGCAACTGGAACCTCAGAAGCACAAGTACGTACATTATTTTTGATTCAAGTGATTCTTAAGTAAAATTAAAAGTTCACTTGCATCATGCCATACCCGATTAAGTGTGGATGAATTTCCAAATATTGTAAAATTGTACGAAAAAAATCATAGTTTATAAACTTTGTTTTTCTTATGCAGGACCTGTGCAAGGACACTGGTGAACCAAATTTGTAAGTACTCGCTAACCAGCTATTTTCCAGGAACTTGAGCAGTACCGAGTACGAAACAGTGTCTATTTTATCTCTTTTTCCACAGGACTGACAGCTTAAACATAAAGATGCCGTCTTCTGCATGAACTAAAATTCAACACCAAGGCAACTAGTAAGTACATTAATCCTTCTTGGTACAGGCCAGGGCGTACACTAATTCCTGCAGGAGAACAGTTTTGACCACTAAAGGTAACTTATTGTGTAGCCGGTATGGTGAATTAACACAGCAAAAAAAAAAAAAAAACTGTCTGGGATCCGAAGGAAAAGGGGAAAACTTTGAGAAACCCGCCTAGGTTAAAGAAGTCTCCTCAGGTTTTGAGAATTTTATCTATATGTAAAGAACATTCCCTCAATTTCACACTTTGCTCAACGCTTTCATCTGATCTTTTTTACGCAGAGGCGGAAAATCTTTCAGAAAGAGAGAAACCGCGCCAAGAGGATGCTGAAGAACTTGGTTAGGCAGCAGATGACAAATGTGAGTGCACTATTTCTAAGTAGTAGATACGTTGAAAATTATGTTGAATCCACTTAGGAACCATGATTGACCAACATAACCTTTTCTTAGATATTACTTGAAGCTTCTGTCACTTTGTCTTTCGCAGGCCGTAAAATTGACTAGAGATAAAAGGAAAATGGAAGGAAAAACGCACTGAAGAGTAGGAATACGTCGGCGGGTCGCGTGGCGGCAGGAATAAACAAATAAGACTTTTGTTTTTGGTTACTGGGAATTTATTAAACTAATTAAACCAATTTATGTAGTTTTTATAATGATTCGCTCTATGAACACGCAGTCCTTTAACTCTACTTGAAATTGAACGGTCGTCTTTGATCCCTCCCCAACTATTTAATATCTAAAATTCAGTCATGAGCGACACGGGCGCCATTTCTCGGTGACGGTCAGTTCCCGACGGCCAGATCCACACGGGAACGGCTTGAACTACTGCTGCTTGTTCTTGTTGCACCGGCATGCGACCGCTTTACTAACAACGTCGTATTTTTCAGACTAAACTTTTCGTGTTCAAGCCAGTACTTGCTCTCGTTTGTCGCTTCGCACCTAGTTTATTTAAATTTCTTTAAGGGAAGTGCCACGCTTGGCGTCCAGACGGTGCGCGGCGTGATTTCAGAGACCATTAGAGCCTGATACTTGTATGTTGGATGAGCACACAGGGAGGGAAGGAAGCAGCGCGAAGGCGCACCGCCAGGCTAGGGTAACCCATTAGGGCCCTGTTCAATAAAACCGGTCGTCTTTTCATACACGACTTTCTCCCCGAACCCCCCCCCCCCCCCCTCTCGAGCTCTGCTGACGTTTGCGACGTCTTAATTCTATATCGAATACTGACTATACAGATCGGGGGGAGCTGGAGACGAGGGGAGGAAGGGGAGGGCGGGGGGCTATCTATATTCTACAGGGCTCATGAAGTGAGGACGTATAAGCAGGATGAATCGCGCGCACACATTCGACACATTCTCGCTCACACACACACACACACGTCGGTGGTGTGGTAACGTCGTTAATTTACGGCCTGCTGGCGCGTATTCTGCTAATTTCGCGAATGCGCGGCGTTGACCACAACATGTTGAGCCGCGCGGTGGGCGCCACACGACATGGACCGGTCCCGGTCGCGGCTGCTGAGCAGCAGGCTCATCAGTAGTGCAGCAACTAGTACTCGGCACCGGGGAGGTCTCTAGCCCAAATGAGGGGGGGGGGGGCGAGTAACTCTAGACCTCCTTCCTCCGTGCATTGTGCGATGATAGCCTATCGCGGGGAGGAAGAAGGGGTTGCGCGTTGCCGCCAAAGGAGCGGGCCGTGTCCGGGCGGGGCCGGTATGGGGCGTGGCCGGGACCATCCCCCGGCCTCACACGCTTTTGACACTATTTTGCCGACAAACGCGAGCAGAGGTTTGATTACGTGGCGGCACCCGCTTTGCTTCTCGGGTATCAGGAAAGGACCTTGGCAGGCAGAGAGAGAAAGAGAGAGACTTGGAGGAAAGGAGGAGGTTATATACTGCGGGAGGGGCACGGGTACGTAGCATCCTCACACCCTGCTCGCCCTCCCGAGTCGGGAGCCCCCTCACTGCCTTGCTTGTCCCGCGCGTACCAACGCGTATGCCCACAAATATGACATTCCTGCACTGAGCGGGACTCTTGCATCTTGAATGTGCCACACAAATTAAAAGTATCCCTAAACGCATCCGAACGTATTCTCCGTATTCCCACTCTGGGCAGCATTGGACTTGCTTGGGCCCTTGCGAGTCTCGGATGCACTCCACGCGGACGGGGCCATTCCAATGTGATGGGAGGAATATTGCATCGAGACGCTGCTGGACTGCTCGCTCTCCTGGATCCTGGACTGCGAGTCCCGGGCGGTTCGCGGGCAGCTTGTGACGTGCGACGTTCACGAGGATACGCGGACACAACATTCGCCCGACCGAATGCGCAAGCTTTCGAACCAGCTTTCAAACACGCGCTTTCAAACCTCAAACGAAGCATTTATTTCCCTCGCTGCTCTACTGATTGCGTCCGTTTGACGCTTTGTTTTCCTGCCCGCCGCCGATATCACACGCGGCCGCCGCCGTTGAGCTTGTCCTCATCTTATTCCCCGCGCGCGTATCGAATGTCGGCGTGTGATTCGGAGAGAGGCGACGATAGACGGTCCATTGTGGCTTTGATACACCTGTGCCAGCGCTGCAGCCGCCTGTTGAATGGGCCCCGGGCCGCCGCCCCACCTGCGCGCGCCCGAGCTATCAACCAGGAGCCAATTTTACCCACCGGGAGTTTACATTTCTCCGACTGAATTTATTTTTCATTTCTCGTGTCCTAGGTAAGTTATTTATAGTATTGGGATAAACCCTTCTTTCTGCTCATGTGTTTAAGACAAAAACATGA